TTTGCCTCCATAAATTGTCTTCATTATACCTGAAACTACGTATCAATCAGATATTAACAGGTAAAGAAAACTTTACCATGTGACACATCCACAGGTAGCGATCGCCCAATCGTGCAGAAAATTATTGACGCAACGTCCTCAATACGTTGCACAAGCTTACTCATCCGGTTGTTCTCGCAGCCATCAAGCTCACAGCAGAATGATTTTGGCCTGGTATGAATAAAGACGTGGTGGAGTGCGCACGCTCCCGTGTAAGTTGCCAGAAACGTAAGGTGATTAGACACTTTCATTTCTGCAGATGCTCGTTATGACCATGTTCATTTCAATTTGGTGGGACCTTCGCCAGACCGAAATAGATATTCTTACCTCTTATGGTCTAATTCGATATAAGTTCATCTAACTTTGTTAGTACAATGGTAGGCCTAATTGCAAAATTGCATATTCGTCGTAATGTAACTACTTACTTTACAAGATCTTACAGGTAAATCACCGTCCTCAGCGACTCGTCCTATCGTGATAATCAACAATATGATTTCTAGCATTTCTGAAGAACACGTATCAGCTTTAAAGAGGTTTATATATTTGATGCGAAAAGCAAGAGTCTATAAAGAGTGATATCACCTGAATGGCCGAGCCATGTCATTCTTATTCCTCGTTGCTACGTTAACTATTATTGTTATCTTCTTGGAGTTACATGTTGAATATGAATCTCGGAAATTCTAGACTTACCTTCAATGGTTGTGCGGTTAAGAACCAATACCACTACAAAACCATTTAGTACAGTGACCAGAAGTAGCAACTGTCGGGAGCATTACTGCGGAAACAGTGGCTCACACTGTGTATCCCAGTTTATATCCGGTTCCCGGTGTTACCTTGCTCGAAACCATACAACTGCGGGCACCTGTCTACCATTGTGATGATCAGAAGTTATTGAATTATTATACGAACTAAGAATCCCTGAAATAGGGCAATTTAATAATAATGATAACAACAATTTATTCTCAAATAACAGTTTATAATAACAATAATAATAATTTATTCTCAAATAACAGATTGTTACATGAAGCATGCCGGTTTACAGGCAAGATCAAATTGTTAAAGAAGTTACAATTTTCACTGTTGAAAATTACTCAGCTGGGTTGATATTTCATAAGATATGAATGTAAATGGATTTCGTAAGAAACATGTCAATATCACACTTGTCGCACTTTACGAAGGTAGCGTTGCAACATACAACTGATGGTCAAGAATAGATACATGCGAAGTTGGGGGCTTTTAGAAGCTTCAATCTTACGTTACAAGCAAGTCAGATGGCAAACGCATTTGTATTATGAGTTAAATATCCATTTAATATATCGTACTGCTTTGAAGATAACTGACGGTAAAAGTCATAAGAGACAAGTCAGATCATATGTGGTCAAGAGATAGGAAGGACTAAAGCAAACCAGAGGATATGAAAGAGTATATTGTAAAATTTTCAGGGTGAGAAAAATAAAACATTGAAAAACTTATAAGAATTTAGGACATTTGAGCTTCTTTTGATCGGCCTTAGTTGGTCAGCATCCATAAAATTAGTGAGTTACATGTCTACTTGTAATAAGAAAAATAAAAGGACCTGACGCTTAGAAAGAATAAACTGGTTTTAACCATTCGAGGGATTCGGAAACTGAAAATGAGGGTTAGGAGCAGAAGGCCATAGTTAATAATCAATAAATAGTAGGGAATGATAAAGCATATTTTCTTTAGTTTGATTATATTCATACTAACGACAATGGAGTTCGTTATATTCTTGTCGCGTCTAGATATTAGGCGGTCCATAATAGGGTGCCTCATTGGTAGGCGGGAGTTCAAGGAATAGTTGGTGAAGCTCTTTAGAGTTTAGTGTTATATCCCCTGGTGAATTATGAGTGGTAAATCTGAGGTCTATTTATGGACAAATGTAATATGCCTATTTCCTATCGTATAGTTGTTAAATAACTGACCTAATCGTATTCGTGTTCCTCTTATCATAACCTTTATTTTTACCTTTGAACTATTATCATTGATTACTTTCCCCCTATCCACAGCCACATTGTCCAATTATTGTACAAATGTTATTTTTCTATTTTTTGGTATAATGTGGTCTGTTTGGTTAGTATATAAACCCAGTATGCTTGTGAATAATGATTCATATTGCCGAGGCTGTTATTTATGTTCTGGACTTAACTGGCTAGGCTAGGCAGGAAGCAGGTACGATACGCACTCAAGACTGCTCGTACGATTTTATGTATCATTGGACGTTTATGTATTAAGAGGGCATACGTTATAACATTTAGTAACTGTGTTATTAGCCTTTTAAATTTGGTAAAGGTGTCACAGTTACGGATAGGTATTGGAAACGTATTCCACAATAAACTATACCGTACTGTAAAAAACGCATTTGTTTTTGGTGTTTTACGATTAATAGTGTATACACATTGTTTCTAGTCTTTAGGTTGGGTCATTGATCATAGTTGGGCAGGAGGTTAGGAATGACGGTCCATTTATTGTTTTGTAGAGAAATATCAGATTGCTCCTAAACCTACGGTGCCATAAAGGTTCTAAAGAGAGGTGATTACATCTACTTGTGTAATCGAGAGTGGAGTCACTTCCTAGTAGTTGGTGTATAAAGCGTCTTTGAACATCTTCTACTCTTATTTTGTCAGTGGTATTCATATTAGAGAAGATAAAAGAGCAGTATTCTAAGGAAGGTCGTACACATATTTTGTGAAGGGTAAGCTTAGCACCTGTCGTGAAGAAATTTTTTGTTATGAAGCCAATTAGACGTCTGGCTTTAGAAATAATAGAGGAGGCGTGTGCTTTAAAGTTTAGGCTTCCTGTGTAATTTATTCCTAGATCGTGTACTGAATTAAGTATCTGGACTTTACTTTTATTTAAGTAAATTTGGGTTCATAGGGGTGCTTTCCAAAGTGCATGATCCCGCATTTGTGGAGGTTAAATGGTAATTGCCACTTTTCGCTCCAGGTAGTTAGGTTATTGAGATCTTCTTGAATCAGGGGAACACATTCACTTAGAGCCTCAGGCTTATAGCTGTATACTATTTAGAGATCATCAGCATATAAGTATGGTTTCCCAGATTTTATGATGTTACATATATCGTTTATATACATGAGAAACAAAAATGGGCCCAATACACTTCCCTGGATGACGCCACTAGTTATTGGTCTTGGTAATGAGAGACAGTCGTTGTACTTTACCATTTGTTTACGTCCCTTCAAGAGCGAAACAAACCATGAATAGAGTGGGTTGTTGATTTCGAAGGACCGTAGTTTGGCTAGTAGCTTTTTGTGTGGAACCTTATCAAAAGCTTTCCTAAAGTCTAAAAATATGACTGATACAAGGAGTCCATTGTCTCGTTTCAGAGTTATATCATTCATGTAGTCCACTAGGCATGTATCACATGATCGGAACCTAAGAAATCCATGTTGGGAGACCGAGATGAGATTATTAGTAATTAGATGTTGAACTAACACCGCCTTAACTACTTTTTTCATTACCCTAGACACCACTGAAGTTATATTTATGGCTGAGCATAAGCAAACGTTCGTATTGGGATTTCAAAATCAGGCAGTCACCAAGTACAAAAAAATAATTAATTAATACAAACATTACGGCCACCGACAAGCGAATGGTTCAGTTGAATGCTTCACTCCTAGCTGCAAACGTTTCACAATGTACCGACACTCTTTCATCCATCTTTCTGGATAACCACATTGCAGTGAAAGCTGACAGTGAATGCACTGCAGTAGAACTCGCTTACGGGCAAGACTTCGACTTCCAGGAGAATTTATGGTTCTCTCATCATCTTCAGTGGATATGGGTCTAAACTACTACACGAGCAGGCTTACAAATTCAATGCCTTCAGTTAAACCTATTTGCACTCTACCGCAATCATTTGATGTCTTCGTCCAACCTGCCTTACAACATAGTACGCACATTTTCCTACGTCGCAATTTATTACAATGACCTCTCAAAATGACATACGAAGGACATTTCAAAATTCTTTGTCGCTAATTTAAGTACCACACCATCAACAAAGACGAAACTAATGGTGACGTCTGCAGTGATTGGCTTAGAGATGCATGTTAAGGAGACCCTAATAATGTTTATTTTCTTGCTTTCCAATCGAACCATGCCAGCCTCACGATAATCAATATTTGCGACGAAATATCTACAGTATCTGAAAGTCGGCACAAAACAACCAGCCCTGGAACAACTGTATAGTTCACACAACGCATGAACAACTACCACACGTGGATAAAAAAAGAGTTTTGGGTTATTCCAACAAGTAGAAAATTTTACCTATAGCATTTCATGGATTAATGCAAGTCACGTTTTCAGAGGAGATAATTAACCGAAACAAAACTAACACTAGTTCAAATAGCACATAGAAACTTCACTCATTTCATTAAATGTTCTTTTACTTGCAACTTGTGAAGTGCGAAGGGAATAAGAACAAGTTGATGACCGTACAGAATATTACTCACAACATTCTTCATCTTAACAAGCCGTTATCACGTTTCAACGTAATCTGCATTATGTAGGGCATTTCTTTGTAATAGAACATGAATAAGAATGCACAAGAACAAATGGAAAATTTTGAGTCAGTAAACTGTGAGATCGACTAAGGAAATGAATTCTGGTGACAATTTTTGGCAATTATTGCATAAAAGTGAACGGCGTTTATTTTAGACAGGCATATAGGCCGGTGATGCCATTTGCTCTATCAATATCATCTTCTTACTAACCAGCATTTGTAGATTCGAAAAACACTGTGATAGGAAACTTCCCTTAACAGCATGGACCTTTGTCATAATGAACAAACAGATCGTTCTTTGAAAAGGTCAGTTTGTTTTAAAGTTTCAAAGTGTTTCAACGGTTTGAATATATTGCGACACAACTTTAAATAATTTCTATGTTGCTGCGCAACATGTTCTATGCAGTTTGATGAGTAGCTGTAAATGTTCTGGTTTTTTCTTCTCTCATTTTTGACATCTGAATTTTTTCACATTTATGGAGATATGATGAGGAATCCAAGACCAATGAATTCTTCAAGAATCGATAATCTTAATTTATGTAGGACGTTATCCACATATAGGAATTCCAGAGATGGTTATAAGGTGATGTTCCAAGATATAACAGAATACAGAAAACTTGAAAAGATTATTCTCAATTTTAATGGTAATTAGGTCTTCACAGTCATCATAACGCTTTAAATAGAGATCCCATTAAAGCTCGTACATGTTAACAAAAATCTCCTTTTGGATTTTGCAAAAACTGATGATATCACAGATATGGAACTTTATATTCATGGATCATTTTTTTATCACAGTGTGGAGGAAATGTTCAGAATGTTACCCGCAGAAATATCTTACGATGTTATTGATCATCACCTACAGAATCTCATGATTTCTATTTTAACTTACGAAACAAGAAACATGAAATTTGGTTATTCGGCTTCAGAACTGCAACAGTGCTTCAAAATAAACGACTTTGCTGCTCAATCACTTAACATTTTTGGTGACCTTACAGTTAATTGGTTTAAAGCTTTTAGCACTGGTCTTACGCGGTACCTGAATACGAGGAAAATATTACAAGTTAGTTCTTTTGTTCTAAAACATTTTAGATAATATTGTTTGTTCGATTGGACGAAATCGGTATATATTATAAATGTTGGTGGCAAAATGATTGAGTGAACTTATGCAGAACAGTAAGAGTAACGTTGCCAATCTTTCTTCATGTTCGACATTTTTCTGTGAAAATAAAAATAAAAAAAATTTATCACTTATGATGAAGAAAGACGCAAAATATTTGTCAAATTACCAAGCTTGAAAAATTCATGTCTACAAATCCTTTGACAATCATAAGCCTAATTCTAAAACACTTAACGTTGAATAATGTTAACAATAGGAAAATAGGTAATAAACGATCCACTCTTCTAAAAGATGAAACACATAGAAATCTTCTTTCAGAATCCCAGCCCAGTGGTTCAATAAAATCCTTCACGAAGTTGTCTTCCGAAAATTTTTGATGGTGTCCGTGATAAGTCACCACCATGCTGTCGTTCAAATATCATATAAATGCAAAGTCAATTCATGATAAAATCTAGAGTAATAAAAGCCTGGAAGTAATATCTCTTTCTAATAATGACACCAAATACAATGTCATTAATATCGAGGAGTTAAAAAGCAACTATGAACGACGAAATTTGAACTTTGGTGTACTTAGCGCTATAATAGCTGGTAAGTAATTTTGAGCTAACTAAGTTAATCAGAATGAAGCAGGTCATTACCCAATTCCAACTGTTGAAATGATCATTCAAATTATATACTTGTCGTGAATTCCACTCACCTTAAAGATGGTTTGAGCACTGTTATTTATCTAACTTTTCGTTTTTAGAGTCTGCATCCATTACTCATTTATGAGTATATTTACGTAATATTATTTCGCTTCTTTGAACAGTAGGTCTATTAGACGAACTAACCAATTAAACGTTAATTTTTGACGACGAGAGGTTCTTCATAAGGTAAATCTTACGACGAAAATTCAATCAAAACATCACTTTCTAATGTCAATTAATAACATTCGCAAAGTTTGTCACCTAAATTGTAAGCTACACAACTTGAGACATTACAATTTCATGACATTTGTTGGCTCTTTATTGTTCAGATAGATACGTTACCTGAGATTCTGTGGTAGGACATTAAATATGGGCCAAAAACAAGATAATATAATCTAAAGTGATTTGTGTTTCATAAACAGTAAATTGTGGCAACGGTTTCTCTTATTATTTTTAACGGCGATTACCGTTTCTTTGAGTCCATTTAGTCATAGGATGTTGATTCCTCTTCAACGTTTACGTGATACTTTTGCCGGCTATTTCAGTCTAGCGTGAAATTCTACATTTAATCATTTCCACGGATGTTGTTCTGCTCACTAGTATACATATAAGGACTTTCTACGATTCAGACTTTTGTTGAGAGAAAACACGAACGTTACAATTATGTAAAAAATGTAAAGTTCGAGATATGCTGTAATTTTGAAAACGTTACAGTCAACTTAATTCAAGTCGATAAAGACTAAGTGGTTAACAGACTTCGTAAGACAGTTTTGACCCCAAAGTTAAATGATTATTTTGAACAATTTTTCTGCTCTGACTATATTTCTAGCAAAAAACGAATAGTATGTTACTAAACTACCAGATTGATTTTTAATGGTGCAAAAGTTTAGACAAAGGTTGAAAGGTGAGTAATAAATCTACGATAATTGCTCGATAAGAGTTTGCTAGGATCGTAAAGAAAAATGAAAGCAATTTTATTTAAATGTTTGTCATGTCCCAGATTCAAACCATTTCTTCACTTTTTTCTCCTAACTTGAATGTTTCAGATTATGAGAACAATTTTGAATTCAGGACCCAGCAAATCGTGCAGTCACTGTATGAGAGACCTAAGTTTGGGCTGTTCAAATTTAGAAAAGTGCTTTACAGATGATACTAAACAAATATGTTCAAAACCGTGCAACAGTTACTGTATAAACGTTTTTCGTGGATGTTTAGCTCCATTTATCTTATTTTTCCATAAACAATCCATCTACTCAAATCAAAACTTAGTACGGAGTTACTCAAACCCGATTCAGTTTGATGATTTGAACTATTTTTTAAGTGCCATTACTGTGTATAATTTAATTAAAAAAGGAATTAAAGAAACAGATGAAAATGAAGCCTTAATCCAAGCCAAGGTAAGTTTTTCCGATGTCTATCTATTTTTAAGGACTTTATCGCGCAATTCTATGTCTAACTTATGTTGATTGGTGTTTCAATTGTAATCTTAAATTTCAGCCCTTTAAATAAAAAGTTTGCACCGTTATAAAGATTCACAAACTAGGACATTTAAATTTATCCTCTATCTATTTGGAAAGTGTTTAGTCTGAGTATAGATTGTATTTGAAAATGTGATTTCGTGATATTTAACTTCTGCTTGAATGCAGTAAACCGATTTCTGGTGAAACGTATGATCATTTCTAGGAAAGTAATGTCAACTTACTGATTGGTAATGCAGTAATCACACTTGATTGAGCATTCAACTAAAATCTTCTTTTAAAGATTTCTACTGGTCGTATACAGTAACTATGAGTAGGAATAGTTTTACCTCGTTATGTGACTTTGAAACGCTATTAGGAATCAAGCAAGACAGCGTCTCCTCAACTCTAAACAAATTAATTGATTTAATTCTTTGTAAAAAGCGTTTTATATAATTAGACACGCGGAAGCTTAAACCAGAGTATTGTTTTAGATTCACTTGGATCTATTTAAGGATAAAATGTTTGCATAATTGCAAAAATGTATGAATCTCAAATCTGATGAAACGATACAATTGTCTAGTGCACGAAGACTTACCCTCAAGCTCCTATGTAAACTTACTGTTTATGATTCAAAAAGCATGTAGCTTTAAGCAACAAATGAAAATATGAGACGTAGAACGATATCAGGTATTTTACTGTACATATTATCAGTATATTACTTCATTAAGATACACTGCTGTATTCACTAAAAGTTTCATGAAATGTCTTAGTGCGAATGACTTGCTTTACCAATAGAAAACGCCACACAACAATTCGTAAGATATGGTTTACAATAAACTGGCAATTTAATTAATATTAATTGGGGAGATTTTGAAAACAGACACGCTATTAACACAAACCTAGTGGTTACAAAGCAGCGATTAATTTCTACATTAGAAGCAATATAATATATCTAAAAGAACCGTTTTTGCGCTTAAATTCCCTTCAATAAGAACTGAAATAAGCCGAAAACCCAATGCAAGCCAAAAATTGATAGAGAGTTGCATGCTCCTTGTCACTGATTCTACATGACTACATATACATACGTTACTCTGAACAACAAATTTAATCAAGATACATTCCAAGGTCTTTTAGGGTTTTAAAGGTAAGGGACCTAAAACAGTTTAGTGTTTGCGCACAAAATGTGGTGGTCTCTGTAGTACTTACCTAAACGTTTCCCCTTAAATTTCTCATCGATAAAATAATTTACCGGTTAAAAACATGTTGATTTAAGCCGTCTCTGTAAAAGGTTGAGAATCACTTGAACTAATTCTCTTTAATTTACGTGTTTATGATTTCTAACAAAGCCTAAGTTCAATGATGAAACGTCCGTTCCACATTCTACTCAAAACTGTTATCCATTTATTTTATGGAACTCATTACCAGATGGCTGTATCAAGGCGAACCTCACAGGATGTGTACTTGCCAACATAGACTGGTCAAAATTTAGCCAATTATATTAGAGTGAAATAATCCTAATTCTTACTTATAATATCACACAAAAATAAAGTGTTCTCACGAAATAAGTAATGATGGACAAAAATCCAATGGTCCATATAAAATAAAGTCGTGACGCCCAAATTACCTCACAGTGTTAAGAAATACACTGTGGATTTTATATATATATATATATATATATATATATATATATATAACGGATACAAAAGTTGTGATTTCCTTCTTATTTTCTTTATAGCTTGAAAAGTTTTGTAGAAGAAATAAGCCGCGTACTTTACAAACTACTACAAGTTTGTTCAGTAACTTAAATGGAAATGATCATACACTAAATGAGACATTGAGTAATTATTTGCAACTTAATACTGAAGAATACAACAAATTAAATAATTTCATTAAGAAGGTTGCAAGGGATTTAAATTCATATCTTCAAGACAGAGACGATAAAGTTCAGTATATGCGTAATATTGAATTACTTTATTGTTCACAAGAAGATAAAAATCAATGCTGGAATGGATCATCATTTGATCGGTAAGTGAAACTTCTTTTACACAATCTGAAATATTTATTATTCTGTTTGATGGTTATAAAGAGATGCAGTTGCATTTTAATCTCATTTTTGAGAGATTTTACGGTTTTATGGTTCTTTGGAATGAATTCATAATAAGATAGTTGACCATAGAGCAGACAGCTAAAATCATGAGTTACTTTTGTAACTGAAAATACACTTCGAAACTTATTATAGGATAAAATTTGTTATTCTCTTAGTTATCTGTTGTTCGACATTAAAAATGAGCTTTCTAGTTTGTGTCCCATGAGATTCTAGAACTCAAGTTGAAGTATTCTGACTTCCGATAGTTTAAAATTGAATAAACGTTTAAACTTTTGCCATTTAAAAGAGCAGATAACATTTTCAAATTGTAATTAATCGCTGAAATGCAATATATAACAGTCGTCGAGTACTAAAATTCTTCCAAAGTTCTGATATTATTGTACATTATTAGTTATCGCGGTAAAAAATTGGTGAAAATTAACTCTCTTAAAAGGGTATTAGTTAATTCTTCTTTAGAGAACGCGTCGATACACTTTTCAAATAAGCACTGTAAAATGATCATACCTAGATTTATCCATATTTTGTTTTGCAGTGACAGTGAATTTAGCACACTTGTATTTTGTCATGTCTAGAAATTCTCCACTTTTTCAACAAAAATTTAACTGGTATGTTTGTTATATGGTGTAATGAGTAATATGTACTGTATACGAATATTCGTCAAGATTAGAACGAATAGTTTGACAATAATTGGGCGCCGAGTATAGAGAATTCATTATATGTGAAAAAATTATATTTGAAATAGTCTCAGCGATTGAAATTTAAATAATTCCAACGTTTCATCCTGTTGTACAAAAACTTCGACATCCAAATATGATTGGATTAAAAAGTAGTAGAGATTTTGATATGATTGTAAAAACACTATATATTTCTTTGATGACTTTGATTTTGATTATTTCCCTGAAGAAGTCCAGACAAGTTAGCTGGACGAAACGTTGGAATTATTTAAATTTCAATCGCTGAGACTATTTCAAATATAATTTTTTCACATATAATGAATATGTACTGTAGTCTATTTAAATGCATAAAAGTCACCAAAATGTTTTCGAACCTAAAACTCTATTTCTCTGATTGATGTCACCTAGCATTCATTCGAAATTGTGGAAAATGAGAATGATCATTTCAGTAAATACATCTGAAACACAATCAAAGATAAGCTGTTGATTTAATCATAATTAAGGTAGAACTGGGTACAAACATGTTAACTTAAGTTTTCAAAATAAATAAGCATCAAAAGGTTAAAATAACAATGTCAAAGGAGTAAAAATAATAGAATTATCAATGATAATGAGAAAGACCAAACATAGATAAGTCGTTACACCATAAAAAGTAGAAAACGTCATATCCTAATCATAGAAAGTTAACAACTGGTTGATTCAATAAAAAAGCCCTTACTTACCCCTGTAACCCCTTGTGTAGGAGCATAGGCTGCCTACTTGAGCTCTCCATTGAACTCTGTCCTGAGAAATCCTTCCAATTTGTTAACATTTGCTTTTCACTGTTTCGATGTCTGCTTCCAATTCCCGACGCAATGCGTCTCTTAATCTTTCATATTACCTTCAGGATTCCAAAATAGCGTTTGCTTAATGATGCAGTTTGGTGACTGAATATACGTCTTATTCAAACCCAGCTTCTTTACCTAATTTCCTTTACAGATGAAAGCTGGTTTGTTCTCTTCCACAGTAGGTTGTTGTTGATTTTATCCGGCCAACGGACATTGAGTAGATTATGTAGACAGTTGTTTATAAATATATGTACATTTTTAGATGATGAGTGTCGTAGTTCTCCAAGTTTCATCTCCTTTCGTATAAAAGATTATGACTTTGATGTTGGTTGGCAGTTGCTTTTATTTGCATGTGTTCTTCAGTTGTATCAATGCTGCTCTTCCTTTGCCAATCCTTTCCTTTATTTTGCATCAAATACTTCATCTTCATCGATGATTCTGCTACCCAGCTGCATGAACGTCTCCATCTCTTCCACATTTTCTCCATCGAGTGTGATTGGGTTGGTGATCACTGTATTGTATTTCGGAATCTTGCCTATTACTTTGTGTATGCTGAGGTATACTACTGCGGAGGCTGTGGCTACACTAACTTCTTTTGAATTTGTTGGTGTGTATGGGATAGAAGAGCTATATCATCTTCAAAGTACAAATCGTTCAGTTGCATCCAACCAGCCCATTATGTTGTGGACTTCAACTGAGATGTGGAAGTATTCATAATTCAGTCAACCACCAGAAGAAAGGAAAAGAGGGAGAGAAAACTATATTATCTGACATCGGTTCTCACATGGAATGCATCTAACAGCTGTTCTCCATGCTCGACATCTTTGTGAAGTCCGTTGTCTGAATTCTGTATGATGTTGACGATCCTATCAGTTACTCACTCCGTAGTGTCGGAGAGGATTCCGTAATGTTCTCCTATCGACACTGTCAAGCGCTTTCTCGCAGTAAGAAAGGTGATGTATAGTGATGAGTTCCATTCAAATGATTGCTCAACGACGATCCGTAGTGTTGCGATTTGATCAGTGCACAACTGATCCTCACGGAATCCGGACTGTTGATTTCAAGGTTGGACGTCTACTGATGACTTCATCCGGTTCAGCAACACTCCGTTGAGAACGCTCCTTAATACTGATTGTATTGTGATGACTGCGTAGTTCTCATATTCGCTCAGATCTTTCTTTGGTATCTTGATGAGATATCCTTCTCTCCAGTCTGTCGATGACACTTGTTTATCCTCCCAAATCTTCATGAATTGAATGTGGAGCATATTTGCAGTTAATTATATGTCTGATTTCAGTGCTTCATCTGGTATATTGTCAGGTCCTACTGCTTTCCCACTCACCATTTGCCTGATGACCATCCTGATTTATTCGATCGTTGGTAGGGCGATAGTTGTACGATGATGTGTCTGTCTACTGATTCGATATTCGGAGGGTTCAATGAAGCTGGTCTATTCAAGAGTTTCTCAAAGTGTTCTACACATCTGTTTATCTGTCCTTGAGTTTCAGTGATTGATTTGCATTCATTGTTCCTTATTGGTCTCTCTGGTTTACTATATTTCACTTCTGGTGTCTTCATTGTATCATATGGTTGTTTCATATTTCATTCTGTTGCAGCTTTTTCCACTGTCGTTGTTTAGTCTCCCACTCATTTCTTTTTGTTGGCTCTAATAATATTCTTCACTCACCTGTTTGCTTCTGTGTATTTAGCTTATTCCTTGACTTTCTCTGTTCCTGTTCGACTGTTGTCATTTTTTTCATCGTTCTTTCTGTCTTTCTTCTTTCTTTCTTTCTTGAATCCTGCTAGGATTAATAATATAGATCCAATGCTTATGATGATGGTGATTAAAAAAACAAATTACTATCCTACTTGTTGGTTTTTATATTATTTTAATGCTTCAATTCGAATATACTTCTATTCACTAAATTGAACTATTTATAAATAATTAAGAAATTATTATATTTTTACGTTAATTTGTAAATTTGTTTAAAGTTTGTTTAAAAACGTCTGACACTGAACTAATATTGTGGTGTACAAGAACATGGGTGGGGACAATCGAATGTATTTAAGCACAAATTACAGACTATCTCACTATAATCTGATAACCATACAAGAAACAGTTAATTTGTAAAATAACAATCATTTGTTTCAATCTTGACTGTTCCTTCTGCAAATATCAGTCCATCTCCTCTTATTTCATTGTTCACCTATTTTCATACCGATTGCGCTTCTTTCCTGTTCTTTTCTTATCGATCTTCTGCCAAAATACATTCTTTACTTGACCATCACCATATACTACTTATAGGGATATAAGTAGACCACATTACAATATTACCAATGAAAATTTCATAAGTTGAAACTCAAGTTGATCAATTTATAAATAGTTCTAATCTTGTTATATTTTGTACACAAAATGTAAAATTAATAAAATAAATACCTGGCGATGTAATAATTTAATTTTTTTAATGATCTTATCAACTACAATTGGAATAAAATAGATTAATAGCTACCACCAAAATTACTAAAGGGGTGTTAGTTTTATGAAAAAAAACTTATGCTGCTGGTAGTTGTTGTTAACTTATATATCAGTGTTGATTACGGTCATTCCTATGTTTGAATTTTAAGTTGATTTGTTTTTATTCCACTACATAACAATGTTTAAGTTCAGATTTGTAATTCAGTTTGACTAAACAATTTTTGTCATGCATTGTAAAACAGCTGGCTAAATAACTGACTAGTATACCCAAGTTTCATAAAATTTAATACAATGAATTTTCAATGTTGATATTAACTATTATTGAAAATGTTAAGAATTATTACTGTGGTTTTCATTGTAATAATACAAGATACTGAATTTTATTTATTTAGGTGAACTAACTTTCATATATTAACACAGTTTCGGCAATGAATAGTAGCTTAAATGGGTAATTAGAACGACTTAGCGTAAAAATAATGTCACCAGTAGAAATGTAAATGTATAAAATATTATTCGTATGTTATTCACTGTGTACACACATATATAAGTTACATTTCATTGGATCTTTTTTTTGGAAATAAAAATGTATCATGATTCAAATGAAATGAACATAATCATTTGAATTTCATATAATTTCTTATGTACTTGATAGTTTGTGGGAAAACTCAGTTTGGAAACGAAAAGTAATTTCATATTAAATAGTCGTTATGCTAACGTTAATAAAAATCTCTTCCAGTAAATAATGTAAAAGGATGTATTGAGATTAGAATCTTTATCCACTTACAAAAAAAACAGATTCTCTTCTTAAAAACTCATGAGAAATATATTTGTAATTTAATAGTTGAGATCATGAGTCAATTGAATCTAGAAAATCTGGAAGCACTGGATGACTATTTCGTCCTATTGTGGGACTCCTCGGCAGTGTACATTCACGATCTCAC